AGAATTATTTTGAAAATAAGATTTTTGGATAAAATTGAATAAAGTTAGGACCATGGAGACGTAATGTGTCCCAAAAGAAGCTGCGTAGAAGTGCATAGCTGCTCGCTTGCACTCCCACTTACTGCCATGCCAAATGTGCTAAGAGAGACGGATCATCGGAAGATATTCCAGCCCTCGATCGTTTCTAGCCTAACCAAACCCCATCTCATTACCGTGCCACCTTAACCTCACGAAAAGCCGCCAGTACAACAACCGAGTAAGTAGTACGAGAACTAGCCCAATCGGTACCAGTACCAAGGCAGCCAGAATTCTGGAATCCCTAAGCCACGGAAGACCTAAGGTTACGCCATCGAGTCGTCCATTAGAGGCCAGGTTTTAGTAACAATGAAGGAGTATGCTGACTTCCGAGACATGTCGAAAGCAGGGCGACTGCATAAAATTTAAATACACCGTCGCGCACTCAATTACTGGCATATTGAGGCCAAGTTAAACGATTCGGGAGCCGTCTGTGTCCAACCACACCACAATCGCCTACAAATGATTCAGCCGAATTCCCCGCTATGTGGGCTATTCAATAAACCACATAATCACCGTCACGAAATCTTATTAATAAAAAAAACAATTCTAAAGCCCGCAAGCTAATAAACAGATCAGTCAGCATAAAAACTGTGTGACATTATTAGCATGCAAACCCATTTGTCCGTGAATTCTTCGAGAACCAGTCTTGTTAAAGATTCTATAGGTCCAATCGCATAACAGCCTTGAAAATTCTATGTAGCCGTTATTGTGCTTGAGAATGGGCAAAGATTACCTCGGAGAGGAACAAAGGCGTGTTCAGAGTGACAAAGACGAGAAGGACATAAAAGGTAATGTCGTTTACTTTGACTTATACTGTAGCTCTTGATGAGGGTGACATTGCTCTTTTGAAAACTTACGTAAGTCTATGTGTGTATTACCGTTCCTAGGGTGCTGCTCCTTATAATGAGGAAATTAAAAAGTGTGAGGATGACATCAATAGCATAATGAAACGTGTGAATGAACTCACTGGTTCGTTTTCGCCTTGTTTAGTTTTCCATTTTTTAGGCATTAAAGAATCAGACACTGGTCTCGCTCCACCAGCTCTTTGGGATCTTGTTGCCGATAAAGTTTGCTTATCAAGTACGTTTCTGTGCCTTAGCTTTATCATAATCTTCCAGGCGATCATCCTCTTCAAGTTGCGCGCTGCACTAAGATAATTAATGCGGATTCTGAGGAGCCAAAATACATAATTAACGTGAAACAATTTGCGAAATTCGTCGTTGACCTAGCTGAATCGGTGGCGCCAACTGATATCGAGGAAGGAATGCGTGTGGGTGTGGATCGTACCAAGTACCAGATTCACATCCCACTTCCTCCCAAGATCGATCCCTCCGTTACTATGATGCAGGTTGAGGATAAACCAGATGTAACCTACAGTGACGTTGGTGGTTGCAAGGACCAGATTGAGAAGTTGAGGGAAGTCGTTGAACTCCCTCTTCTCCACGTACGCGGGAATGTTGTGCTGGTCCTATTCATTCTTTGAAATCTCGCTTTTATCCTACGCCTTTTGTT